GTCGGTTAATATTTTGGGAAATTTCTATATGTTTTTAGATCATATAGATATAACAAGTAACGCTCATCACTACGCCTCGCCCCACCCTCGACTGAATTCATTCTATTCATTTTGACAAATATTATCAGATAAATCGTCAGTTTGTGTCGGAATATGTAGTATGTGTGCGATATTCTCATCATAGATTACATTTCTTTGGCTTTTCATGAGAAATTGATACGATTTTGAATTAGTCGTCTTCATCACAACAATTGCCTCAGTTCTTTCGAAAAATACTCTATATTTCATTCAAAGTTTTACGCAAGAAAAGACGTGTCTACCTCGTAAATGAATGACGAGTTGCTCATCAGCGTCTCTCGAGGGCGCCAGTTGTGACTCACCGATCCCAGATTCTATCTACTTGATCGAGCTCTTCTGAAAACTATTGTCCAATCTCTAGAAAGCATCGCGAAAGATAGGCTCATATCAATCTTGGAAACAAACGGCGAGTCATTCGTCAGCACCATTCGTGACTTGCCAGCTCCATATCCTATCTTCTTTCTCAACTAATCGTTAAGTTGTGTTACGATTCAATTAAATTGGTTTCCTTTTAACGAATGAATCCATCTATCTGATCGAAAATGAACTTCTTTTTTTATTTTTCAAAGGATCACTGCATATAGGCCATCGATCTGTATAAAACTCATGAAGACGAAAGATGCTTTTCGAACAAGATTACCGGTTAATTTTTTTGCTATGCGTATTTTCCTTGATTTTCATAATAATCTCAACTCAAATTATGTCAAAATCTAGCTTAAATCATACTTTTTTCACTATAAAATCATCACATTTTCGATTAACCCGTGATCTCTTTTACGAAGTGGATTCTCAAGGGTATTTACATATTTTATTGTGAAAATTGAGGAAAATTACATTTAGAAAAAAACTTAATCGATAATTCTCTATGAATAAACATCTTTCGTTCTAATGAATTTTATACAGATCAATGGCCCAAGTATATTGCTCTTTCAAATGGGGAAAATCGCAGCTCTGTATCTTGTTTCTATTAAAAGTTATTTGAAAAATGGCAAAAACTGCCTTTTATTGTGGATCGAATAATACATGAGAGTAGGTGAATCATCATTCGTATAAATAGAAAAATATTAGTGAAGCAACGTATGTATAATATCATAGTTAGTGTTCAGAATATCTTTGCATACGAATAGATAACACTCAAAAACAACATAGGAATGAGAAAATAATCATATGAAGATATATCTCCACATCATATGCACCTCACAATAGTATGAAAAAGTCATCGAAAAAATAGCTATGTTTTTCATTTTTGTTCATGGAGATAAACATATTGTATTTTTATAGCTTATGAAAGTCAGAAGGTAGAAATGACACTTCAAAAACCTATTTTCTAACGTTTTTACTATGAATATGAGCTATGAACCACGGTTCATCTTTAGTGAAATAATTAGTCTATTTCGCCGAAATACGAAGAGATATTCAAATCTTTTCTTGCCCGATGACTTACGAGATACCTTGTATATAAAAAAAAAATAACGTTAATCATTTTCCTATTCATCGTTCAATCGCAAGGTGACTCAAACAAGATAACGTTCGAAGTAGGATTTTCGTCTTTGCTTATTTATTTTCCCTAGAGAAAAAAAAGTTGATTTTATAATCTGAATTTTTCTATATTTCAATTTCATCGAAAAATACTTCTCTAGTGTTATAAAGTTGAATTAAAAAGAAAAACAAGTGGCTTAAAAATAGAAACCAGTGACTCATACTAAATGTTGTAAATAAAGAAAAAAAATGGCAACGATTAAAGTATGTAAAGACTAAAGATGCAGAAGAGATACATGACCATTGAAAGACATCTTTGCTCATTTTATTCGAAACTTTTGATTTGTCAATCTCATTTGCATCTCGACATGTGTTTCATATCCGAAAGAACAACGTTTGCAAGTAGTATCGACTAAAGAATGAAACAAGAAAAATAGGAGTGTGTTATATTATTACATCATGAACGTGCAATAAGAAATCAGTTATCTCACATGATATTTTTGATTATTTTTGAGTACATGATATCTACTATTCATTTTCTAGCCTAAATGATTACCAGGATTCTGTATTAGCTGGCTATTGTCACTATTTACTCAGCTTTCATTCTGTTCTTAAATCGAAATTTGATCTTCTTTGCCGACATATACGACCACATTAAGTCATTTCTGTTATGTTGTTCCATGACAATGATACATCAAATCAATCAAGCCTGTTCTTTTCTCATTTTAAACTTGAACAATTCATTTATCTTCAATCATTCGATATGACTACGATTAGTGATAATAAACACAGACATACACTGCTATATATAACTTAATTTCTTGACTGAATTGACTAGCAATACCCCATGCTCATAATCTCGTTTTGGCTTCATTGCCTCATCTACGTCATTTAACTCTTCAAAGTTTCTTTTGCTGGGGCTTATCATTTATATTAAATCAAATTCCTAATCTTTATTCACTTGATGTCAAACTTTCATATGATAATTCTCCAAAGTGAACGGATACCATATCATTATTGCCCCATCTAAGATGGCTCATCCTAAACATTCATGGTGTGTATAGTTATTTGAAAATTGTAAATATATATTCTTTGTTTTTTAAAATTAAGGTAGAAAAAAGACCATGATCCATGTAGAACAATTTTTATCTAAAATATCTAATCTATATTATTTCGAACTTATTGCACAAGGTTATCTGAATCTTATTGATGGTCAAAAATGGGAATTACTTATTTCACATTTGACTATATTCCACTTTCGATTGCATCTTCCATGTTCGTTACCACATTTTCCCGAAGAAAATATTCTTGATTCATTTTGTTCACTATTTTGATTTGAACAAAAACGCTGATTTGTTGCCAATGGTGGTCCATATTCGCGAAATATCTTTATGGTACCTCGTTTTACATCAAATGTTCTCGTATGTCCGAATATTTATTGGCCATCAATATGTACATCGTCCAATTATTTAACGTTTTATCAATATTACATCACTCGTATTCAATATAGAAGAAACCGACACCAATCTTATATCGACTTCATTTCTTGATCTCATTGAACATATGCCTCATTTACGTTCACTCTCGCGTCAAGATCTCGCTATGTTAGCTGGCTTATCACATGATATTGCCTTCGAAGCGATACGAACTTTATATGTACGAAACAATTTTGAAAAATCTGAAAGTGAAATCGACTATCGATTGGACCTAAATCAATTATGTAGTTTTATTAATTGATCAATTGAACTATCTATCAATTGCACAATTTCAATTCTATTATCGTTCATCGTCATTGACGCGTTTCTCACCTCAAAGTTTTTGCTCTAAAGATATTTCATCATATGTGAGAGTGAAATGAGATGGTTTCAGGTTTTATACGACAGTTCAATGATATCTTTGAGAATAATAAGTGACAATTGAGTACCAAAAACTAACCTATCTTTATCGAGATGATAATTTTTAATTTCATTGAGCGGAAAGCCAGTTCAGACCACTTGAGTTTCTGAATAGCGTTTTAAATTTTATAGTAATAATCTTCTTATCAATAAAAAGAAAAATACGAACACAATCATATAAAATTATCTTCGAAGAATTTCTTTTATTTTTGAAAAAATTTTTGTACGTTGGAAATTTGTTTTTATCTTATATTTATTCTGCTTCAGTTGGACTCTAATTCATTCTCAAATATATCATTAATATATATTTTCTCACTGTTTTTACTTTTCTATTCTTTGCTTATCATTGAATATTTTGATTTTAATTATCTAACAATCGAAATTCGTTCAAATGGTATTCGTCACTAACATATTGTTTGCGATAGATCATACTGATGAAACATTCTTGTTTATATGTTGAAATATCCGATATGTCAAAATGTTTTTAGTCTTGCACATTTTGCATATAAAAAACATACACCAGCTCCAATGCTTTGACTACCCATAAATTTTATCATGTCAAATAAGTCTTGAAAAAAGCTCAATCTTATATCAATATCTATACAAAATCAAAATTTTTTCTACATAAGATGTATTGATTTTAATCGTTCTTCCTCCGAAAAATTAGCTTTTGGAAAGCAAAATTATTTTTCGTTTCAACTTCGACGAAGAGTGAATATTTTTCAAATCAGTTTTGATAGAAACCAAAGAGTTTCACACTTGAGAACAGGAGATAAAAGTGTATTTAACCATATATTAGCACTATGTGAGAATCACATGAGCACTTTTCTAATACTCAATTATCGTAATATTCTGCTGCACAATTAACCTTTTTCGGCAGAATAAGAGATAGAAATAAGTATTTTTGTAAACTTTTTACTTTTACAACTAAAAACTGAAAAGATAAATAAAATTGAATTGCCATTTTATGTGAAAATGGCACGAATCAGACAAAAAAATCTTTGAGCGCAATTCGTGCGAGATTAAAATCTGAAATATGATCGAATCATTTCAAATATCCAAAGGGAATACTTCTTATTTTTGTTACAGTCCATCACAAGATTTAAGTAAGAAATTTCGAAAGAAGTAGCTTATTTTCATTTCGCTTGATTGAAGCATGTTTCAGGAAAAAGTACATCATTTATCAAGAAAAACAATCACTAACAAATTTTCGCTTTCGCAATAAGTTTGTCTGAGTCAATAATGATATTTTTGTTCGTCCAATATTTTACATTTTAAACAGGAAATAACATTTTCATTTTACTCGATAGCAAAAGTCAATTCCCATCGGGAATTTGTCTTATTTTGTACCGTTGGACAGTTAGCCATCGTGAGAAAAAAATAACAGCAGAAAAGTTTGTACGCCATCATCATACCGACTATTAAGAAAATGTGTCTACAACGAACGATCTTGACAATATAACATCGATAACCATTGAGACAATTCTTATCAGCTAATACGGAGCATTTTCTAGAAGTCTTTCGAAATTGATGTAGAAAATTTAAATAATGAATATACCATTAGTGATATCAAATAATGGTGTTGCAATATCAACTAAGATGCACGGTAAAATAATAACTCTTTAAATGTCCCTATTTCTTTGCTTTCTTCTCCTGAAAACATAAAAGTAAGGAAAATTTTCAACCAAAAACAAATGATAAATCAAATTGTTAGTTAGTTCGAAATATTTTCCATTGGAATAATAGAATTGAACTCATAATAAGCATTCGTTTCTTCTAGCAATCTCATTTTTGACACTCCTATATAAACACTTTTTTTTTCTCTCACTTTGCCTGAATGATTGAATTGTTTCGATATTTATTAGTTTTTTTTTCAGCAAATGTTATTGCATTTGATTTGATTAATATCAAAACAATAAACAGAACAGATTGGTTTTTTTTAATTCATTGAAGGAATAACTGAAATAAAGCCTTTTTTTAAGAAGAAGGGAAAAACTATTTGACTCTTCAATTTGTAATTTATGTTCATTGAATATCTTATTCAGATAGTCTAGACTTTTACTTTTCTAAGAAGAACTCTTCATATGTCGATAGACCGTAAATTAAACCAACTAAAAGGAAAAGATTATCTTTAGTTCAGATAGGAAATTACTCATCATTGGAGATTGGATCTTTATTTAGTAAATTCGAATAGAAATATCAATGAATATTTTAATTTGTGCTTGATCAGATAAACTTTGAAAAGTCATTGAATCAACTTCGAAAAATAAAAGATTGATTAGGATTTTCTCGACAACTATCTGATGTTTCGGACTGACAATAGAAAATAGAAAATCGTTGTATGTTTCTCATATTGAGAAACATCTTGTAACCAAATGGTCTGATGATTAGATAATCGCTGGGAGAAACGGAGAGGGAACTGATGTTAATCGACTCTATGGAATCTTGTCCTGATCGACTGGAAAAATCATCATGTGACGAAATGACCACTTGGTACCAGAGAAGTTCCAGCGTTTCTCTAAGATTTTTTTTCTCTATTCAAAATCATGACTGTTTATGTACTACTCGTTTTCTTTGTTGACAAAAACATGGTTTTGTACGTTATATTTTGTTTGTTTTCTGTCGTTGATGCAACCTACATTTTTATATTGGCAAGAAGAAAATAAGAGAAAAAGCAAAAAGTGGGTATATGTTTGTGCACGTATAGAAGAGAGCGAGCGGGATATAGAAGTGTATGTTTGCTTAGATTAATGACGATGACACCATCATTATCATACTTGTTGTCGACCAAAACACCTTTTTTTGTTCAGGTCTTTTCTCTGATTTTTCAGATGTCATCAGCTGATTGAATAGCTTCGAATGTTGAAGTTAAATATACTCAAATCTTTATCAACAATGAATGGCATAAAGCAACAAATGAAAAAACATTTTCTGTCATCAATCCAAGTACAGGAGAAGAAATCTGTCAAGTAGAAGAAGGCACTAGAGTATGAACCTCTATATGTTCTTCATTGGTTCATTATCTATTGTGATTTTCAGGCTGATGTTGATAAAGCAGTTGAAGGTGCTCAAACAGCTTTTGATATTGAATCACCATGACATAAATTAGATCCTCTTTCTTTCTCTCAACATAAGTCAATGTGTAGAAAGTGGAAACACTTAACAATGGTAAACTAGTAGAACAGACTAAAGGTGAAATATTTTTCTCAGTTGATTGCACTGAGACCAACTGAACAAGCACCACTTAGTGCACTTTATTGTGCTGCTCTTATCAAAGAGGTAAGATATTATCATGTCGATTATACTTTGTTGTTGTCATGATGATCTAGGCCAACTTTCTACAAGGTGTTGTCAACATCATACTAGGTAAAGTGAATGATATTTGTCATAATAATTTCATAAGAATATTTAGGTGATGGGTCTGAATGTGGTTATACAATTGCTGTTCACGCACATATTGATAAAGTAGCTTGTACTAGTTCAGTTGAAGTAAGAACATTCACTAATAAAACTACAAAAAAAATGAATGTGAAATGTTTGATTGAGGGTTGGAAAGAAAATACAAGAAGCAGCAGCTACATTAAATCTTAAATGTGTTACACTTGAACTTGGTCAGTAACAAATACAGGATAATTTTCATCTGAGCTATTCTCTTTTCACATACCGGTGGAAAATCTCCTTTGATCATCTGAGGATGAGGGTGAGTATTCTATAAGACTTTCAAATAATCAAATTGATTCTAATACTGAACAAGGATCACAAGTAATAACCGCTTTAATCTAAAGAAAAGTTCCCTTTACTTGTGTATGATAGATAAATGATAGTCAATTTCAATAGATTTTGGATTTTATAGAATCAAGTTAAAAGTTTGGAGATAAATTAGAATGTGATGGTGAACGAGTTGATAATAAAGATTATTTTATCAAAGCAACTATTTTTAGTGATGTAAAAGATGATATGCAAATTACTCGTGAAGAGGTATAACATTTTTTTTTATTAGATTCTATAATAATGTGAAAATTTAGATAAGTGGTCCAGTAATGTCAGTCTTAAAGTATGATTCATATGAAGAAGTTATCAAACGAGCAAACGACACGACCTTTGGACTTGATGCTGGAGTGATAACTAGAGACAGTAAATTTGAAAGAAATGATTATTGATGATTATTCTAGTTTTTCAGTAAGACGTAGTCTTACGTTGGCTCACTAAATATGACCTGGCTCTATTTTGGATAAATACTTATAAGACTATATGTGATCAAGTACTATTTGATGGCTTTAAAGAATCAGGTCAGGAAAAAGAATTAGGTCGATATGGTCTCAAAGCATACTATCAAGTGAAAACAGTTGTTCTTAAACTTGTTTGAGGAAAAACAATACAAATTTTTCATGAAGAACAGCTATTTGGATTTGCTTGTTTAACTTTCTAACATTTATGTATTTTGCTCTCTAAACTCTTCCATGTATTGCGAAAGTCACACTAATACGTACAACTAATTTAAATAAAATATTTAAGTGCAAAGAATAGAATACTACGAACAATCAGTTGAAACAACTCCCAATTACGGTAATAACTCGTATGAATGATCATAATCTAGTTTCAGTTTAAAATACATAATTAAAAACATTTTAAATTTTATTGTTTACAAAACTTTAAAGAAATACAATACAAAGAAACAAATTGATTATTGAAGAAGGAAAAGTGTGATCGATTCTTTTCTGCTATCGTAAGACATTACTTATTGATTATATATATAGTGAATTTAAAGAAGTTTTTATATATAATAAGTTCTTCGATTGTTCCTGTTCTCCATCATCTAAGTGACATCAGTTTTGAACAGTAACAATAATATTCTTGTAAAAAATGTTAATTTATTAACTGAAATTACGTAAGTAGATAAATGATATTGATGAAGAGATGCTTTAGTCTGTTATTTACAACGCTTTTGAAATCCAGAGTACAGTTATGAAAATTAGATCTATTCGCTTGAAATCTTCGTCATTCTAAAAATTCCTTCCTTTCATCGTAGCAATTTCGTTCTGGAAGTCTTCCTTCATATATTGAGTGTTTCACGTTAAACGAACTGATAA